ATTTGTAGCTTTAGGGTTTTGGTATTTAATAGTGATCACAGAGTTTGGTACCAATTAGTTCCACTCTCTAATTTTCACCAAAATAAATAACTTAACAGAAAACCAAATAGAAAAGAAGAGACAGTTTCCAGTTGAGGTCTCTCCTATCTATCTCTTCAGTCATTTGTTATGTTCATTGCATGAATGCATTTCTAGTATTAGAAAGTTAAACATCAACATATGGTCATCTCAGTGTTTCCACTCTACTCCCAATTCTCCATCCTCTTACAACTGTAATACATCTTCATAGCAACAAGAATGCCCTGAATATATTTCCTAAAGCACTCTTCTATGTACATTTTTAATAGAGTGAACTTTGGTCAAAAATGCATCTATTCATTTAGCTGCTGTGCTTAAGATTAACTAGGCAAAACCACCCTTGTAGAATAGAAAGATAACAGTAGATTTTTATTACCTTGAAATGGCTTAGTAAATAGGTATCCCTGCCAAAGGCTAGTTGGATGACTGGTGGGTGGATTGACAGGTGAGAAATGGATAGATGGCTTAAATAGGTAGGAACAGTCACATTAGGGAGGTTCATGAGTTTATAGATGGAATAAGAGTTAGATAAATGGGGAACATAATATGTGAATGAATAGATGAGTGGTTAGCTGATGGAGAAATAAATTGGTACATTGATGATTGATGGAGATGAGTGGCCAGATAAAGTGAAAGGCCAATAAATGTCTATGCCAACCAGAGAACAGACAGATGGGTAAGTGTTGTGGCATGTATAAACAGGAACAGTGGAGGGTCAGGTGTGAATGGGAAAGGAAGATTAAAAAGGAGAGGTGAAAAGGAGCACTAAAGGTGTGAAGATAGAGTACTTGGAAATCTGTTTCCTCGACAAGTCATGATTTTACAGTAAGCCTGAGGAAACTGGAAACTCTCAATCATTGGTATCTATCATTTCCTTGGTGTTTTAATTTACAAAGAACACGATCTAGTTTATTACATTATCTGTTTTTCATTCCCTGTGAAAGAGACCAAGTCATGAAAGATCAGCCATTAGCCCTTGTCTATCTAGGAAGTCAAGAAAAAACAAGCCTCATAACCATAGCTCAAAGTCTTGGCCAGAGGTGCTAGCCATGCTGTAATATCAACTGAAGAATCTTAACCCCTTTCTACTGAATTCCCTAACCATGACCAGCCATTGGACCTAAGCTCTATTTGGAGGATATCTTGAGAAACCCAATGGTTGAAAGAAAAAGAGAAACTTCCCAGAGAATTGTGAACTAAAACACACTGGGGTGGGGGGTGTGGAAATTCACAAATAATACAGATGAAGAAACAAAGACTAAGATCAAATGCCTGATTCAAGATTACATATCTTGTTAATGGTAGAACTAGGATGGGCTAGCTGATATCTAAATGGTCGATGAGAAACTGAATTACACAAAAGAGGTTAATATCCATTCCTTCAGAAAAACAAATAAATGTGTGATGAAGGCAGAGGAGCTGGAGTTCTAATGAAAGAGAAAGTTGTGCTAGAAAAGTCAATCAGAGGAATAGAGCTTCTTTAGGGCTCGTTTTTATGCTTTTATCCCATAGCAAAACCTAATATAGAGAACAATTAATGAGTGGCATATGCTTCTAAGAATAAATGTACATAATAGTCATCATATCTACTTATACTTACTCTTGTCAAAATTGTGCTTAATTTAGCTTGCAGAATCAAGGTGCAGGAAGTCCTAAGGAGTAGAGTGCCCAAAATGAGGAGTACGATCATTATTTTTTCTGACTTCTCTTCTGATTCCATTTAGCCTAGCTCAATAAATACTTTTGAGGCTTTAAGGCTACAATTATATTTTATATTATTTGTAAATGGCATATATATTTGATATACAGACGTAATATGGAAAGTGCTTATAGTGCCTTCTATGATGTGTGTGTGTGTGTGTGTGTGTGAGAGAGAGAGAGAGAGAGAGAGAGAGAGAGAGAGAGAGAGAGAGAGAGAGAGAGAGAGAGAGAGAGAGAAAGAGAGAGAGAGAGAGAAAGAGAGAGAGAGAGAGAAATAGACTGCTCAGTTTTCTGATTGTATCTATTGCCCAAAGCTTAAAATACACATATGAGAGAAGTGTAGTCTGCTTCACTTTTCTCCATTCCTGGATACTCAGTGAGATATCCTAATAAACAGCCCCCCCAAAATTACAAATTTCTTCAAACTTTATTGATACACTGCACAATCACAACCATCTCGTATTCATCCTGAATTAGAAAAGGTTACAACTACAATGTAACATGCACAAAATTCAGGTAGTATATTCACCCTTAATACAATTATTGACAGAAATCAAGTCTTCATTGATTTTTGGAGAAAAATATACTGAAGAAAACAAAAGAAAAAAGAACTCTAGAAGGCTGACAAAATTATATTTTTTTATCATGTGATAATTTTTTAAAGCATTTGAACATAGATTTGTTTTAAGGATAATTATGAAAATGGGCACACCCATTGTCTGACACAGCTATAACGGCACCATTGATAAGTCATATTTTTTTTAATCTAGAGGACTCTGAACTTGACAGATACATTTTTGTACACCCACACATTCCTCACAACTGTACTTTACATGTCACAAAAATTTTTGAATAATTAAAAATGCTCCCTCTAACTAACACAAGGGCAGCTATTATTACTTATCATTGCTATTATCGATAATCTTATAAATCTGCCAATAGCATAGAAAGGCCAAGAAAGGATAGTAGAAGGTTCACAATCTTTCTTTCTCCACTCAGTGGTGGAACAACTGGAACAACTGTGTGCCTTTAAAAGGGCATCATTGAAAGAAACAAAAAGGAATCACTTTCAAAATACTGGAAATTAGGCTTAGCTGACTACTTTCAGTATGAAGACAATTGCGTCTAATAACGCGGCATTCTTTTCGACCCCCGGTATTCTGCACCTGAAGGCTAAATTGCACTCGTTCAGCTCTATCTTTTTGCTACATCTTTTAATTGCAGATCTATTTCTTCCTTCTTTCATTTACTTCTCTTCTCTGAAATAAGAAATGAGGGAAATGAGACTGGCATTTTTATTTGTTTGCTTTTAGTGATCATTAGGAGTTCTCATCATATGGTGTCTTTTTGAAAATGTTGCCTTCCTAGTTACACACCTGTTAAGTTTTACTGCAACTGCTCAAACTTATTTGTCTTAAAAGAAGAAAAAAAATTAGAGAAGCTTTGGATAGTAGGAGGGGAAGCAATTGGGTATAAGCATTTTTAGGTACAGGGCTTGTGCAAAATGAAAATAAAAGTTTCTCCTTGCTAGAGAAAAAGAGAAAAAAATGAATTTTGCTTAAAAGAAAAATGTTATGCTGCTTCCCCTAATTCCAAAGAGATTAAATTTTGCTTTAGGAAATTAAAAAAAAAATGTGATTTTTGGGAGAGGGGTGGGAAGGATTAGCGGGTCAGTTCCAGGTACTGCAAAGCCAGTTTTTCTCTGGTGAAGACTCAGAGCAAAATCGAGAAAGATAACCCTACCTCCCATATCTTTTCTCACCTTAAGCCATTCCTCCCATCATTCTATTGATGGGCCTGATGACATCCATACACAACTACAGAGAAGACATTCTCAATGGCACTGGAAGCATCTACCAAAACTAGGCTTTTCAATTTATAACCATTCCTGATGCAATGACAGTAATAAGCTCTCTTTGGGATCCACTGCCCATCTTGAGGTTCTGTATACTTTTCATTTAAGGGTTCTTTCAATATAGGTAGAACTTGCTAACTCCTCTATGTTAAGTGCAAAATAACTGGACTAATGAAGAAACAGATTCTTAAACTCATCCTTGCTTGTGGAGTTTCTAGAGCCCCAGAGCACACTTTCCATCTGGGTTTTGAGAACTAACTGCCCAACCTGGGAAATGTATCACTAGTATGAGACATAGGTTTCAGGAGAAAGAGGCCCAGGCCTCTTTTAGATATAAAGCTGTTTATCTTTTCTTCTATTCAGTTGAGCACAATTACAGCAGAATAACCATTCACAATGCTCTCTGAATAATGTGCATGTTTTCACCACCATTCTCTTATATGTCTCCCCTCACCCAGTTAAAAAACAAAAACAAAAACAAAAACAAAAACAAAAAAAACCCTACAACACTTTCTTAGACTTGCAGATAACTATCAGGCACTTGACATTAAACTTCTGAAAAACAAGCTTGGCCAGAGGCTTCACACTAACACTTCGTTTGCATTACTTTGGTGGAAATACATATTAACTTTGAGTTGAGAAGGGAAAGGGTTTCAAAGTAACTGCATTGCTGAATTCTTCTCACCTAATATCTTAATAAGCCTTATTTGGTCTTCTTCCCATGTGGAAAACCTTCAAAGAGCTATAGGTTGCTCAGAGACTTGTTTATTGTTTCCTCCTTTACCCCTATCCCCACCCCACCATTGATGCTTTGAAAAAAATCTATCCAGCAGGTCTTATCCATCTATTCTCCATATGTAAAGTTGAAAGAGCTTGTGTAAGTGTGGATATTGTCTTTAGTGAGAATTTGCTGTTCTGTACTTCAGAATGTTGGGGGACAGCTACTGTCGTATGAAGCTATCCCCATCAAAGTAACCTAAACAGCACAGAAGCTGGGGTACATCTGTTGTGAAGAAGAGCAATTTTCTTTCCCAGTGTCCAGTTTCCTTGGGTCTTATTACTTGGTTTTCTTTATCCCAGACGGACGAATGTCGACTAGGAATAGGAATTTTCTCCATTCTGTCATGTGGCCAGAATAGGTAACTACCAGAGGTGCCGCATGGTATCCAGTGGAAGAGAGCAGTGCAAGGTTTCATAGTGACTCTGAGATTCAGCTTTGCTGCACTCAGAAGGTTTGGGTGATCTTCCTAGCCAAAGGAGAATGGATCCCTTCCTCTAGAACAAGTCTTGGAGTGAAGAACATGTACAACTTGTCCATTTCAAGCACTGTGTTCTCCAGAACCATCCACTCTCCACAGCCTCCACATTTATTTTACTCCAAAGTAACAAATTTATTATCAGTAAGACACTCAAATGACACAATTTTCATACAATGTGTAACATCAGCCCAACTCCAGGTGCTGAATGTGGTGACAGATCTAAACATTGATGTCCAACCTTTAATTATGACTTTGAGCCTGCTCATAATTGTCCCTGGAACGTGGAATTGATACACTGCTTTTGGCACATCATTTATGTTCCCAGAATCTGGCTCTTGGAGACTCACTAGGAAATGCAGATGTCTGTTTACAGCTGGCAAATGTAATATTAATTTCATTCACACCAGCTCAAATTCTTATGAAAGTGCCTAGCTTTTTGTATGCCAAGAAAGCCTAGCCTAGGTTTGTAGTTTGTATTGTGTATGTGTGTGTGTGTGTGTGTGTGTGTGTGTATACACATACCAAGTATATACACATTTGTTATTTTTTAGACTGTGGACCTGAAACAGTTTTCCAGTTGAGACAAGGCATGTCTGTGAGACAGTCATCGTTGATGCTTCTTTCTTATCCTCTCAGTAGGTCAGTCCCTGCAGCATAGGTAAAGAGGGGAGCAACCTTGTGTGGTTTTCAATGCCATTCCTTTGAATCACAGGCACGCTTGCTGGCCGAATCCTTTTTGTCCCAGGACATAATGCAGAAATGTCAGGTCAGTTCTTGTTTATATGTGGGATCTGCTTTGAACATGGATTGCTGAGGGAATTCTTCCCCATATCCAGTGGAAAACCAGACTGTATCAGAGGAAATTGTGTGTCACTTACACTTTCCCCCTTCTTTTTGCAATGTTGTGTTAATCAAGTGCTTGGAAATTAAGTCAGTTGCTTGAGTGCCCTCAGCTCAGAAGAGCTTCCTGAAACAAATACCAGAGTTGTCAACACACCCGCCATATAATTGGCTTCATCAGCTTTTTACTGGATAGTTTCCAAACAGATTAAACTAAAACTAGAGAAGAGAGGAGACAATAGCCGAAGTTATCACACTCAGACAGGTAAACTGCTCTCTTCACATTCCACAGACAGATGTATGTTTTTTTCTTTTACGTTCTTACTATTAAGAAAAGTCATCCATGGAGTAAGTCTCATGGGTTCCTGACATAACTTTCTTGAAAGGCTGAAAGAAGCATGAAGGTTGACACCTTGGTCCTTCAAGTGTGAAAGAAAAAAATTACAGTACTAATCAAGGCTTTTCCAGGGCTGATCTGCTTCCCAAGAAGATATTTTCGAAAACACAGTCTCTTCTGGGAATAGTGAGTGACTGATCATTAGATTGCTACTTTGGTCCATCTGCTAACAGCGTGTATTTTGGGTGGGTGGGGTACCATATTCCAAAGAATCCATGACATATTGCTTTTCTACGTTGTTAGCCTGTAAGATCATTGGCTTTCACATGAGAAGTTAATAAGTAATTTTGAAGATACCAATGTCTGCTGAAGGTAGAGGAGAAATGAATACAGCAGAATAGACACAATATCGTTAGACACTAATATGGTGATGAATTGATAGTGAGTAGTGAGGAAAGAAATGGAAAGAAGTGTTAGATAATTACACTGATCGATTGATAGACAGAGTAAATAGATTGCTAGAGAGGAAGATGAGTGGGTAGATAATTGAATGAAGAGATAAATCAGAAAATTGAGTAGATGGATAACTGTATAATTATTTTGATAGATACTTGATAAAACCTAAATAATCAGCCATCTATGAATAATTTTTCGTGAGTTGGACAGCATTTTTTTTTTTAAGAGAAGTAGTATCCTCAAAATGCTTTGTCCCTTTTTGGTTATATGACTTCTGAATTTTTAGTGTTGGGTTGTATGAATTGCCACAAACCTCTAATTCCTATTGCTAGGAAGGAACACAGATAGAGCAGAGTGGTTAGAGAAGATGGCAAGATTAAACTTACACATGCACACATACACACACGTGTGCACACACACATATGAATATGGATATGGATATATTGAGATAACTTCCCAGAAAGAAAAGATGTGAACCTTAACACAATTAGGTAATAATAAACATAGAATGAAGAATATGTACATTGTAATCAGAAAAATGGTCCAAAGCTTAAAAGACACAGATAATAGGACACTTGGCTATAACTTTTGCTGTGCACTACATTGTAAGTCAAGTTGTGTCTTCAGGGTGTTAATCATGAGGCACATTTTTTGCCCAAATGGAGCTTATATTTTAGTGTGTAGGGGAGGAGAGTTTGGTGGTGATGATGATGGGGAGGGAAGCAGAGGAAAGGGAAGGGCCAAGGTAGCAGGAACAGAATTCATTTTTGGACACACCAATGAATGATTATCCTACACATGGTAGAACCCTGCCCACCCCTCCCCCAACCCCAGTCACTTAAACAGAAAAAAAAAATCAAATAAACAAACGAAACCCTGAAATCAAAAAAAAAAAAAAATCAAGAACAGAAACAACAGAAGCCCAAACTGGTTTGCCCTCCGCAGTGTAGATTAAAGTCTGTGATATGGAGAAGCAGGCGTTGCTCAGAGAACCTATGTTTTCTTATCAAAACTTGATGAAGAAGTGGGCAAAGAGGGTCCCTGATAGCCAGAGACAAGCCAGCGCTCTAGAGGCCGAGTTTACACCATCAATGACTGCTCCAGGCCCTGTGTAGGGGAAAGAGAGACAGACCCATTAGGATGCACCCAAAGGTACCATATTTATTTCCTGATGAGCAAATATGTAGACATGCTTCTCTATGAGCATTCCCCCACCATTCACCCCCATCACTGACCCTTCTAAATGTGGACAAGTGGAAAGTGGCCAGGAGTAGTGTTTAGAAACTCAAAGGAGTAAATCAACGGGATGCCTTTAACATTACAGCCTGCCCTGAAAGATGAGGGTTTTAAAAATAAAAGGGGTAGAGGGAAGTAATGGCAATCAGTTAGGCCTATGGGCTAAAAAGTTAGGGCTGCAGATAGGGCTAAATAGTATGGCAGGATCTGATGGCTGTTTCATAAGCAGTACCTCTAATTGTGTTCTGTCTTTGGAGATAGCATTCTGGACAGACAGGGATGAGAGTGGAAAGGATAGGTATTGAGGGCAAGAAAGGTTTCAGTGTGGAGAGAAGTGGGGGCGGGGAGAGGAGAGAGGAGTAGAAACGTTTAGTGAGGTACGGGAGTCTAGGTGTTGAGGTGGCAGACATTTAACCCTGTGTATCTTCAGTATTGTGGAGGTTCCTCCTGCAGTAGCTGAGGAAGAATGAACACTCAAGAGTTTTAAAGACTGTGATTGAGTTTATCCCATCAGTCAGTGGTGCTTCTCCAAAAGCAAAAAGAAGACTCAGTCTTTTAAGACCAAACCGTCACCTCTTTCTCTCTTGCCCTCTTTCCTCTGTCTCTTTACATAGCCCTAGTGAATCATTCACATTCCATTGAATAAGACCATAGAATACAAGTTTTATCCTTTTCCTTTTGTCTGCTATCCTCGAGAAGACAAACCACTTAAACTGGGATTGTTCTAGGCTATTCCAAAGGCCAAGGACAAACATGTCAGTTTTTAACACTGCTTCTGTGCTCCTCCATCATCTTTATTTGCGAGCCATAAGAATTTAGGGCCATAGGCAAGACCAGTATCTAGTAAGCAGAAAGAATTCCAAGGAAAGTAAAAGTGAGTACAAGCCAAGGGATCAGAAGGCATCAAGAGGCATTAGTGACAAAGAGAAAAGAGTTGCAGGCAAGGAAAACATGTCTTCTTTACCTTTTCAAGTTAGGACTACACTGCATTTTTAGAAGCAAACTGCCTTATTAGAAATAAGCATGACTACTTCTAGAAGCAGAGATGGTGCAGCGTCTCCTCAGATAGGACCTAAGCAACTGGCTTGCTTGTCAACCTAATGAAATGCGTCTGTACCTTACCTAGGAATGGACTGATGCTCACCTTTGCTTGGGGAAGCATAGGGCTCTCATTTCAGCAGTGAGCATTCAACTATTTCAACTTCAGGAATTTCAACATGAATAACTTCTCTTCTTCTGATTTACAATGTGTACAATTCTCTAATAGACTAAAAAATGCATTTCTGTGTGATAACTTAAGAGTTTAGCTCATATTATTTCTCTGCATTTTTCTTATAGAGTATTCACAGACAAGGACAGGATAAAGGCCCTAACTCAGTGCTATTGTCTCCATGAAGGCTCCATAAATATTTGTGGAAAGTAGCCTGACTCTGGGGCCTCCATCAGTCCAGACATATGTCCTAAGGAATCATACTGACCTATAGAATATAGTAAGTTGGAAAATGCCCAAGTTAAATCTCAAAAAGATTTTCTATATTGTCTTCTGAAAATGAATTATTGAAATTTTTAAATGTTTATAAGAGAATGAACAATGTAGATTTATAAAACCCATGTGTTTCTTTAAAAGTATCTTTCATTATATATGTATAAATATGACATACATTAAACTGTGTGTGTGTGTGTGTGTGTGTGTGTGTGTGTGGTATGTATGTGTCTACCTAATTCATTTTGTTGATTTTAAGTTAGGAAACAACTGAAGCTCTAATAAGCTCTACTCTAGAGAGACAGAGGTCTCTATCCCAAGTTCTACCAGTGGACATTTTTATGGATATCATCCTATAGCACAAGGCTACATATTACTAAAACAAAAAGGAGAAGATAAGTATATAAGAAAGCAAAACTTAAAAGGGTAAGTATGGAGAGAAAAGGAGGCAACATCATAAAGAGAAATGAATGTCTCTTGTGGAGTGTGGCAGCTGTCATAAGATGTTCAGTGCTGATCAGGCAGGGGGTTTATAGCCACAGTTTAGCTTTAGTTGAGTGTTCCAAAGAGTAAAAACCAGGAAGGTGACTTAGTGGATATAGAGGTGGTTCGGTTTGCTTAGGATGACAATGATAACACATATTCATATTGTGCTCTTTATGTGGCAAGCATGATTCTAAATTTTAAACATATGTTAACTTTTTTAATCTTTGCAAAACCCTCTGAGCTATGTGCTATGCATTTTCATTACATTAATGGGGACACTGACAAACCGAGCAGTTAACTACTTTGCCTATGACCATACAACTTACACACTTAGAGTTGGATGAGAATTCACTCTGTCTACAGAGTTTGTGCCCTTGATTATTACAACTCTACTTCCTCTCTATAAAAAATAATTCTTTGTGAGTGTTTTCCAGGTACCAGAGCATCATGGTGAGAGGAACAATGGACTAGGAATCTGGAGATCCAATCGCTCTATGTGACTTTGCTGCTCCCTTGCTGAGTAAAATCCTCTCTCTGGTCTTTGTTCTCCAATGTACAAAATGAGAGAAAGTTGGGATTCCTGACCTCTAAGTCTTTTCTATTAGCATTCTGAGTTATTGTATAAATGAAAACCCCACATCTGGTGCTGGAAGGAACAGCTGGTGAACAGTCAGATGGCCTTTTCCAGTTGGTACCAAACTATTACCATTCTGGCTTTTTGTACCTCTGCATAGCACAATCTCTTGAGATAGCAACAGGGAACCAAACATTCCTAGACCCCAAGATTTTCTTTTCTGTGGTTTCATTTTCTATGCAGCATCAGAGAGTTTTATTCTTTAGCAGGTATAATGAGCCTTGTTTTGTAATATCAGATGATATGGCAATTTACTGCCAAAGTGCCTTTGGCCAATCGGTCTATGAGATATGACTGAGCTATTCTGGCCAATAACTTAATCTAATCCAGCATGATGGAGATTAAAACTAGCACTGCTTTCCTCATATGGATCCTGGACACATTTGAGATTTGGCAGGTGGGCCATATGCCAGCATAGTGGCAGCCCAACAGAAAGGCTCTCAGGCTTTGTTCAGAGCAAGAAGAGTGGTTCACATTTGTGTACCACTTTCTAGGTTGGAGAAATGTTAGACAAAAGCCATCTACCATGAACTGATTCTTTAATTTCGTCTTTTCAGTAACGCTGATTCCACTGGAAGTGAAAGAAAACATCTGGTTGGGTCTCTCCCGTAGGGCTACTGTATGCTCAGGCCACTCACCTGATTAGGCAAATGCTTCCATGTGCTTTAATGTAGAAGTGATGGATTGTTGCTGTTTAACTATTTGGTGTGATTCCATGACCATGTGGAGCTCATCTGGGGGTCCTTAGGCTGATAAGAGGCTTGCAAATGTTAACTCAAATAATCTGTTGCAAGAGAGGACATGATACTGGAGGAACTCTTCATGTGAACTGAAGTTGAGTGTTTTCTTTTCCTATACCATAATTTGTTCAGATACCAGCTGTATGGATTTCTCCAGATACTTGGTACCCAAGATAATACTAATTTTAATAGCAATAAACAGGGTAAGGAATTAAACAATGTTTTAATTTTTATTCTTTTATTTTTTTTAATGGAAATAAAGAGAAAGGTAGAGAAAGGAAGTTGATATCACAATCCCAGAATCTAAGATTTGGTTATCTGAAGCAGATTTTCTATTATGTTTTCTACTACAGAAAACTAACCCTGAAATGCACCTGGAAAAAAGGCAAGGATTTGAAGACAAGGTAGAACTGAAAAAAAGACTAAGGAGCAGAGTCCATGGATGCATAGGTGGAACAGACATCTTCTAGGGCAGTAGTTCCAATCTTTTTGGCACCAGGGACCAGGGGTCCTATGAGAATCTAATGCCTTATGATCTGAGGTGGAGCTGAGGTGGTGATGCCAGCACTGGGAGTTGTTGCAAATACAGATGAAGCTTTGTTTGCTCTCCCACTGCTCACCTCCTGCTGTGTGGCACCAGTTCCTAACAGGCCATGGACCGGTACCAGTCTGTAGCATGGGGGTTGGGGACTCCTGTTCTAGGGCACTTGAGAAAGGTTTTTAGCATATCTGCCCCCCATGGCCTCGCTGCCTTGTCTTTGTGGACTTAAACATCCTTTGAGGTAAAGTCACTGACAACTGTAAAAGTGCTGGCAACTTTGGAGACAGACAAAGTTTGCTTTTTAATCTTGACTCTATGGCTTGCTGGCTGTGTGATCTGAAGGTACTTTCAGTTTTATCAGTTGAAAATGTGGGTAATAATACTGAGTTTACAGGGTGGTTAAAGGATTCAAGTGATTTCTGCAGTGCCTGGTACAAAGTAGTCATGTGATGCTGGTAACTGCTGCTCTGGTGGTTCCATGCCCCCTACCTTCCATTTCTTACTTAAGGATAATATTGGCTTACTTTGATATTTTCCAAGTATGTTAAACCTGAGGTGAAGTTTTGGTAGGTGAGAGAATGAGGAGGTGAGATAAGTGAGATGGGGTGCTGAGAGAGGTCATTTGTCCTGAGGGCCCTAGGAGAGTTTGAGGCACTGAGCAGGGAAATGGGAGAGGTCCAAAGACATCTGTGGCAAGGTTTAAGGGCAAAGGATCAGTCTGCAAGGGAAACAGACCCCAAGACAGCTTCAGAACATCATAGCCATTCACTCAACAGGTATTTGTTGGGAGCCTGCCATGCACTAGGCTCTGTGTTCAGACAGAAGAGTAAATATAATCTCTCCTTTTCAAAACTTATACTTCCATAGGACCTGGAATATTATATTCTACTCTAAATCAATAAACAACCAACCAAACAAATAAATATATTTTTAAATCCTCACAGATTCTGAGAAGAAACACTTTGTAACAAATAATGTAACATCTCT